AATCATTTGTTGCATCAAAGACGATGTCATCAACATAGACTTGCACAATGAGCAGGTTCCTCCCCCGTTTCTTCAGAAATAAGGTGTTGTCAATTTTTCCTCTTATAAAGCCATTTTCAAGGAAAAATTTGGACAACCTTTCATACCATTCACGAGGAGCCTGCTTCAGCCCATATAAAGCCTTGTCAAGTTTGAATACATGCTCTTGATGCTTATGACATTCAAAACAAGGTGGTTTCTTGAAGAAGACTTCTTCTTTTAGATATCCGTTCAGAAATGCAGTTTTGACATCCATTTGGAACAATTTGAATTCCATATGAGATGCAAAGGCAATGAGGATTCTGATAGCTTCCATTCGAGCAATTGGAGCAAAATTTTCATCATAGTAGATCCCTTCTTCTTGGTTGTAGCCTTGAACTACTAACCTTGCCTTGTTCATTGTTGTGTTACCAAACTCGTCAAGTTTGTTCCTGAACACCCACCTAGTTCCTATAACAGTTCTGTCAGATGGTCGAGGGACCAGGTGCATATGCTCTTCCTCTCAAATTGATGGAGTTCATCTTGCATAGCGGTAATCCCGTCAACATCTTTCAATATTTCTTTGATATTTGTAGGCTCAATTTGAGAGAAAAAGGCTAAGAAGGCAAGAGAGTTTCTTTATTTTGATCTGGTTTGTATCCCTGAGTCAAGAGGAGTGATCATATTTTGAAGAGGGTGTGAACTTTTATGCTTCCAGTTAGACACCTGAATCTCATTATGGGAGGATCCAGGTTTCTCTGAACGTGATTCATTATTGGCATGAGTTCCGCTTCTCTGCTCAGCATCTAGGGTTCCTTGCACAGCATCAACAACTCTGTTCTCTACTTCAGTTATTGTGATTGAGGGACCAGGTTCCTCTACATCAGTTGGAGATTCAGCTGCACCATCTTTATTTGATTCTTTGACTTGACTCATCATGTCAACCTTTCCATTTGCCATGTAAATGATTTCACCAGGAACCTTTGACTGTTCTCCATCTTGATCAATCTTATCATGTGAATCTTTCCCACATAGGAGGTGTGATTCATCAAAGATTACATGTATGCTTTCCTCAATACATTGAGTTCTTTTGTTGTATACTTTGTAGGCTTTGTTTTGTGATGAATAGACAAGAAAGATTCCTTCATCACTTCTAGCATCAAACTTTCCAAGTGCTTGCTTGCCATTGTTGCGGACAAAACATTTGCTCTCAAATGTCCTTAAATGTGTTAGCTTGGGTTTTCTTCCATTCAGCAGTTCATACGGGGTTTTGTTCAGGAGGGACCAGATCATGCACCTGTTCACCAAGTAGCCTGCAGTGTTGATTGCCTCTGCCCAAAAACTTTTTGCAACACCACTGTCAATCAACATTGTCCTAGACATGTCTTCAAGAGTTCTATTTTTCCTCTCCACAACACCATTTTGTTGGGGTGTTCTTGGAGCTAAAAAAATTATGACTTGTACCATTTTCAGCATAGAATTCGTCTAACTTTGCATTGTCGAACTCTGTGCCATGATCAAATCTTATGCTCACAACGTTATGGCTCATCTTTACTCGGATCTTCTTCACAAAAGCAGCAAATACTTGAAACGCCTAGTCCTTGGATCTGAGGAACAAGGTCCAGGTTAATCAAGAATACTCGTCCACTATGATAAAAATGTACTTCTTTCCTCCTCTACTTGGCACCCTCATAGGTCCACACAGATCCATATGGAGGAGATCAAGTGGCCATGAGGTGCTGACTTCCTTTTTAGGTTTGAAGGAGGACCTGACTTTCTTTCCTTTTACACATGCATCACACACCTTGTGATCCTTGAAACTTGACTTAGGCAGCCCACAAACCAGGTCCTTCTTGACCAATTTGTTCAGCAACGTAAAACTTGCATGCCCCAATCTTCTGTTCCATAGTTCAGCATCATCATCAACCGCATTCAGACATGTGAGATCCCCATTGTGCAAGGACTCAAAATTAGCAACATAAATATTTTTGTATCTTTTTGCCATCAGGAGCACTTCACCAGTCACAAGATTTGTGACTATGCAGATTTTTTTTATACAAATTCCACTTTGTTTCCTTTGTCGCAGATTTGAGAGACACTCGGTAAGCTATATTTCAAGCCGTTCACATAACACATTTTCAATTGAGTGAGTGAGTGTCTTCCTAATTCTTCCTACTCCCAGAACGTATCCCGTTTTTCCATTGCCAAAGGACACACTCCCTCCTTGCAGGCTTTGAGTGAAAGAAAATCATCAGTGCTTCCATTCATATGCTTAGAACAGCCACTATCCATATACCATCTTTGGTTGCTTCCTCTTACTGCTCCCTGCACAAGGAAATCAAGGATTAGACTTAAGAACCCAAACAAGTTTGGGTCCCTTGTAATGAGGAAACGGGTGAATCAAAGCTCTTTTTGTCCAAGCAGGCATCATACGTTTTTATATGAGGTACCAGGTTCTTTAGCTGTAATTATATCTTCAGTAGAAACATACTGTTGGGACTAAAATGCCCAGTGTTACCTTAGTGAGTGCAAAGCTAGTTGTCAGAGACAGTAGCCTACTTGCTATGAGGATTATAAGGAGTCTTTTCCTTTTTGAACCCGATTTCCTACCTGATCCCCCCATTGTTCTTATACATAGCAGTGACTGCATCAGAGGACCAGGTCCACTTAATGGATTTATCTAGGTCATTCTTAACTCTGCCTAGATCTTCCTGGAGTTGTCGGTTTCTCTCAAGTTCAGTACACAAAGTAGATTTCACTGATTTTTACTCATTTTCAAGCCTAAGGTGTGTCTCACTTGCAACTTCCTTTCCCTTTTGAGTGTTTCCATGCCTGTTTTCCTTTTTTAATTCCTCAATTGTTTCCTTTAGGTCCACAACTACTACTAAAAGATAATCTCTCTCATGTTCTATGTTTGCAATTTTTTCAATCAAAACATCTTTTTCTTTCTTTAAATCCTCGATGGTTTCTATGAGATCTACCAATACAACTACTAAATCTTTCTCTCATGTTCTACCTCTCCTAGTTTCACAGTTAATGCATTTTTATCATTTATAAGACTATGATAAGCATCAATTAGAACATTTGCCAAAGATATAAGCTTTTTCTGAGTAAGACTTCAAATTTCTTAGAAAGTTTACCCCATCATCATCGTCAGATTTTGCCATCAGGGCAAAGATAGTGTCATATTCAACTGCTTCACTTTCTACTGCCATCATGGAGTTGTCACCTTGTTCATCATCTTCTCCAGATTTGTTGGAAGAGTCTCCCCATGCAGCAAGAGCTTGTTTCACAACATTGTCAGTGGCATCTTTTCTCTTGAATCTTCTGTCAGGAACGGGGTTCCTTTTGGCTGCTTTATCTGTGTCGTACTTGTACTGTTTCTTGCTTGTGGAGAGGACAATCCTTGATGAAATATCCTGGCTTCCCGTATTTATGACATAAGTCATACCCTCTTGGCTTGCTGGAACTGCCCCTTTTTGGAATACCTCCATTTCTGCGAATCATTTTCTAAAATCTCTTTGTTAGGTAAGCCATATCAGCATCCTCACCACTTTAGTCATTGTTGTCTATTTTGAGGACCAAGTTCTACTCCCTTTTGGGCTCTCTTATCTCATGATCCTTCTTATTCTTTATTTCATAAGTTTTCAGATTACCAATGAGTTCATCGATGGTCAGCTTTTGCAGATCTTTTGCCTCCGTGATAGCATTTACTTTGCTTTCCCAGGAACCAGATAATACACTAAGTATTTTTCTGACATGTTTGTTCCTTGGAATGATCTCTCCTAGAGAATGAAGCTCATTAATGATAGAAGTGAAGTGAGTGTGCATGTCCTGAATGGACTCATCATCCTTCATCCTGAAGAGTTCATACTCAGTGGTTAGCATATCAATCTTCGACTGCTTGACTTGACTTGTCCTTGCATGTGCTGTTTGGAGAGCTTCCCAGATCTCCTTGGCAGATTGATAGGCAGAAATCCTGTTGTATTCGTCTGGTCCAATGCCACAAACGAGGATTTTTGTGCTAGAAAGTTGTTTTCTATAGCCTTCTGGTCAGCATCGTTGTACTCCTTTTTTGTTTTGGGAACTGTCACTGCTTGTTCACCAATGGTCTTCATAGGAATGAAGGGGCCATCGCAGATAACATACCACAGCTCTGAATCTTCAGCCATGATAAAATCACGCATCCTTGTCTTCCACCCTCCGTAGTATTGGCCGTTGAATCTTGGTGGTCTGTACGTAGATTCACCTTCTTCAAAGTTTGGTGCAGCAACCATGAGGATCCTTTCTAGGTGTTAGCCTGATAGAAAGAACCTACTCTAATACCAATTGATAGAAACTTACGGTCCACCAAACTATATAGAGAACCTGGTTCTCTATTAGTTCCCACATAACACACACACATGGCAGTAAGTAAATGACACATCAGAGTTTTACGTGGAAATCTCCCAACTCACGGGATTAAAAACCACAACCTAAACTTGTCGGATTTCAACTTCACTATCCGAGCAACTTCATATTACAACCTATTGTAACCTAAAAATTAAACTCTTAATCCCTTACTCACTTGTAATAACTATATTACAAGCCCCTTTGTAATAACTATATTACAAAGCCTCTTTGCAATAACTATGTTACAAAGCTCACCATTCGACTAACTCTAGTCAAGACACAAATACAAGGTTTATGGTTTTACAAAGGTTTCCTACACATATGCTTTTAACTAAGCTAAGTAGGAATTACAAGTAAATCACTTTAACAAAGGTACAAAGGTACAACATAACTGAGAAGCCTGATCAATATCCTTTTCTATTATTGGTCTGTTGAGCTCTATTTGTTGTTCCTTAGTGAGGCAAGGTCCATTAACTAATGAAAAAGCACCAGGTATAGATGGTTTCCCTACTAAATTCTTTAAAGCACACTGTAACCTTGTTGGAGGTGAAGTTAAATAAGCTATTCAGGAATTTTTTGAAAATGGGAAGATGCTGAGCAACATGAACTACACTACAGTTACACTAGTACCCAAAGTAAATAGTCCTACATCTGTTAAGGAGTTTAGACCCATAGCATGTTGCTCTACAATCTATAAACTCACTGCAAAGATTCTAACAGCAAAGTTAAAGACTGTGGTCGACTACATTGTTGGACCTGCTCAATTAGCATTTATTAAGGGAAGAAACATATTGGATAATGTTATTATTGCCCATGAATTGGTTAAAGGATATACTCAGAAAGGGGTCTCACCAAGATGTTTGATTAAAGTTGACATAAAGGCATATGATTCAGTTGAGTGGCCTTTTCTAAAGATGATACTGCTTGAATTTGGTATGCCTGTGAAGTTTGTACAGCTTGTGATGGAGTGTGTGACAACTGTCAGCTATTCTCCACTGATAAATGGAGGATTGACGACCAAGTTCCAAGCAAAAAATGGGCTTAGGCAAGGAGATTCACTACCTATTTGTATTGGTGATGGAATACCTGAATCGATCACTGAAGACACTAGAGAGCATTCAAGACTTCAACTACCACCCGAGGTGCTCTAAAAAGAACATAACACATATATGTTTTGCTGATGATGTAATCCTGTGTTGCGCAGCAGATAAGCTATCCATAAGCTTACTCATGAGCAGATTTCAACATTTCTCAGAGGTATCAGGACTAAAAGCAAATATGGAGAAAAGTGCTTTGTACATTGCTGGAGTACCAAGGGACTTCAAAGAAGGGGTCATTGCAGATATGCAATTCACAGTAGGTGAGTTGCCATTCAAGTATCTAGGAGTTACTTTGTCCTCTAAGAAGTTATCTATCCAGCAGTGTATGCCATTGATTGAAAAGACTATTGCACGACTCAAATGCTGGTCAACCAAATTCCTGTCTTACAGTGGTCGAGTGAAATTGATCAAGAGTGTGATATTTGAAATGTAGACCTACTGGGCACATATCTTCCTACTTCCAAAAAAGATAACAAAACTGATTATGACTGCTTGTAGAACATTCTTTTGGACCGGAAGTAATGAACCTTCAAGAAGAGCACTGGTTGCTTGGGACAAGATATGTATGCCACTTTTAGCTGGAGGTCTAAATGTAATTGATGTGACTAATTGGAACAAAGCTGCTTTATGTAAACTTCTTTGGGTAATAAATGACAAAAAGGACAATCTTTGGATCCAATGGATACACAACTACTATATAAAAGGGAATAACATACTGACTATGCAAACTCCTAAATAGGCCTGCTGGCTAGTTAGGAAAATATTTGACACTAGGGATTGGCTGACTCAAAGGGTCCCCTCTGCTGATCTGAACAAGTACTGTATAAAGGGGAAGTTTAACATTAAGAAGCTATATATTGCAACAATGCCCCAGTATCCTAAGTGTCATTGGAAAAGGATTACAATTAATTTAAAAGCATTACCAAGGTATCAATTCATCTTGTGGTTGGTTATGGATAAGAAGCTAGCTATAGTGGATAGATTAAGGAAGTGAGGGATATCAATAGCAAGTGATTGTGTGCTGTGTGAGAATGATACTGAGGAGACAATGGAGCATCTATTTTTTTGAATGTAACTACTCCAGGAATATGGAGCAACATTGTTAAAATGGCTGGGAGAAAGACACCAAATAGCTAGCTGGAATGCTGAGATTGAATGGTTAGAAAAAAGAAGTTCATGCAGAGTTCGAGCTCACATGCTAAGATTCTTGTTTGCAGCTGAAATTTATCATGTCTGGACAGAGAGAAATCAATGAAGATTTCAAATGATAGAAAGCCTTCAGAGGGTGAAGAATATTATCCTAGAGCTACACATACGAGGGCAGAAGGAATCCAAATGGCACAAGGAGTTAGAAAGATTGAGCAACTATCCTATTTAGACATGGATATATACATATAGAGATGTATAGTAGAGAAGTTGTAGTAGAGAGAAAGGGATTGTTAAGTCTGTGTTTTGTTTGAGTCTAGCTCAAGAGTCCGAATGAGCTAGTCAGTTGTAAATATTATACTTGGTTAATTGAAAATTTTGACAGTTTGACCAAAAAAAATATAACTAAGGATATGTAATAACACAGTGCAGGAAGCTGGTCCTTCGTTACTATGTTCTCTGTTCTTGAAGCCCTGAATGTCACTTGCAAGTTGGCAACACTTGAGAGTAAGCTTAATCAGTTCTGGAATGTGCAAGTGTATTGCTTTCCCTTTGCTTCAGGTTAATATTACATAAGTGACATCACTTGAATGATGCAAGCATGTTTGGTACAAGGGCATTCCCCATAAAGTGACTGATGCACTGCTTGCACTGTTGCGTGTGTGCAGAGGAACAGTTGTAGCGACTTTACAGCTGTGGGTCGTTCCCTCTGTTGTTTCTTTGACTCTGAGTGATGGAACATGTCCCAGACTTGAGACTTGTTGATCTTGAGCACTTTGAGGATGTGGAACAGATTTCTTATCTGGTTCTTAACATTAAGTTTGTTAGATCATCAAAACATAACAGGACACATAACCTATCAATATAAGAAACAAGTTTAGATGAAGTACTAGGATGGGTGACCCCCTTGGGAAGTCCTCGTGTTGCATCCCTCTTTATAAATAAAAAAAAAAATTTAGATGAAGTCGTCAACTGGTTGACTTGTATGAGCTCAAGCAGCTTTAGTTCTGTTATTGATCTGAAATATACTTGCACTGTAATTCTATCAATGCAGGATTAGCAACGGAGTATATTTTTAACTGTCTTGCACAAGTTTCACGATATATATGATTAGGAGTATAATTACTTTTTAGTGCTTACAACTTGCAAAGGAACCTAAACTTCGATTAACATACAAATACAATTTGATTTGGTACGTTAATTAGAGAGAGTACAGTACTTTTTAGCACATTGACACAAAACATATATCATATATGCATGCCCCATTCAAATCGAAACATCATCTTTAATAGTATTGTTTAATCTTTCTATTTATATAGTTCAATAATCATCCTTTTCCACTCTTTTTCCATCTGGCCCGCGCCTTAGCAAGTGGCAAACATGAACGTATATACTTATCGCTTAAAAGATTTCATGATGATACGAATTGCTTATCATATATGAAAGTTTAAGCTCACTGCTCATTTATTAAAAAAAAAAAGATTCAGTATTCAACCTTGTATTTTCACTTCAACCATGACTTTGACAACCGTCAACAGTACTTTCCTCTTAGAAGCGAATTCAGAAATTGAAATTTATAAGTTCTTATAAAGATCTCAAGTTAATATACGATAATAATTGAATTTTTAATCAAATATATATATATGTATGTGTGTGTGTGTGTGTTGGAAAACTAATTCACAATTGTAGTAGAAAACCTTAGTTATTTAGGATTTGATTTATTTAATAATGTCTAAATAGGAGTTGTAGTCAGAATTAACATAGTAATATGCTTTCATGTTTCTAGTTGACATATGTTTCCCACTATTATAAATTTTATGTGCGACGAAAAGAGGAGATTTGTAAGAAATTATAGAAAGCTCCTTCAGGGAGATTTATAATAAAAATATTTTCCTTTAATATAGGATCTATGCAAAATTTACTGGCTTCCGTCATCGAGAATCCATAGATTGTGCCCTAAATCCACCACTGTTTTTTCCCTTTCCAAACACTTGTACTCAGGTTCATTTACTCTTGAGAGCTGGAAACATTTAAAAGAAAATAGCCAGAAAACGACATAACCAATGGACCGTCTCAATTTTGATTGCTGTCCTTGTCTAGTAAAACAATATTGACAGTGAATTACACAAACTTTATTGTCGTTTACCCAAAGAAAATATAAAATTTGAGTTGGAAACATCAGTCGTAGACCCTAAAATAGAACCTATCTGCGAAACGCAATGGACTTTATATTTATCTTCATTGAAAACCTCATGTAATGCACAAATTTCCTAGTCATAAAACATAACAGGACTTACTTAGTAATATCACTAATCACCTCATTTCAGAAGTAATCAAACTTGTAATGTTTGAATTTAAATTAAAATTGTTCTTAAAACATGTTCAAACAATCAAACATGTTTTGAAAATATATTTTTTTTAGCTAAAGGTCTATCAGAAATAACTTTTTTACCTAACATAGGGCAGGGGTAAAGTCTGTGTGTAGCTAGCTTATTGTTCCCATACTGCACTTGTACGATCACACTGGGTTTGTTGTTATTGTTGTTGTTAAAACAAGTTCAAACATTATGCTTAAATTGTATAGATCTTGATGTTGACACTACATAACCAGAAGATATTCAACAAATTAAGTACATGCACCTTTTTTCCTACTAGTATAGACATTGCCATAACATATACTATATATTAATAACTGGCAAAAGCAGGAAAAAGAGCCATCAAAATGTTTCAAATACATAAGCATATGGCAACTATATGTAAATGGACCCATATTGAAGCAGTCTTAGAAACTTCATTTGCTCACTTCTTCTCCTGCATTGACTGATTATAAAATCCCATCCTACAACTTAATTCTACCAAAGGCAAAAAATAATCCTATCTCCAATTTAGTTATCAAAAGAATTTCCTGAGTTCATTTTGAAAAATGTTCAAGATAATTGGAGAAGAAATTAGAAGCAAAGGCTTGATTAAAGAGTAAATAATGAAGAAGTAGTGCCAGATGATGTAAAGGAAGGACACTTTGCTGTTTTTGCAGTCAACACAGGTAGTGAGAAGCCAAATAAAAAGGTTTATTTTAGGTTATTAAAGCTGGCCGAAGAAGAATATGGATTTAGACAGAAGGGTATGCTGGAATTCCCTTGTCCACCAGAGGAATTAGAGAAGATTATTCTGCAGCTTAAGATTGAAAGAAATTAATGATTATATTATTAGTGTAGTTTAACTTGTGATAGTATGACCAGTCATAACTCATAAGTAATGATTATTATAGAGATTTATTTGTAACTACTTTATAAGTTATCTAATTGTGTAAATTTTACACTGTCAGTAACTTAATTTCTATTGAGAATATTATCTAGTTACTCATTCTTTACAACCTAACCTTACGTATTATAAACTTGTTTAGGTCGTCACTATTATCAACATATTTCGTAATATAGGCTATTTTTTGGTG